TCTAGCTTCCTGGGAAAAGAAACATGGCTTCTACACAGCTCCCATTCCTTCCACTATGAATCAGGGAATTCTCATGATACATATGGGGATGGGGGGGTTGAGTCTTGCAAGTCCCAGAGACTCTGAATCCTAAAAAGGCAAAAGCAAGCATGTCCTTCAAAAAGTAGCGATTACTGTTGTTAAGGAACAAGTGTGGTGAAAATCAGGGGTTAAACTTCTTGTCCTGTGCCTTCTCCCCCCAAGGGAGTGTTTGCTGTAGCTTTTCTCCCACACAGGGGCTCTCATAATTGACAGCTGGTATCAAGCGAAGTGCCCCAGGAGTTGGTCCTGGGGCCGGTTTTGTTCAACATCTTCATTAATGATCCGGATGATGGGATGGATTGCATCCTCACCAAGTTCGTGGATGACACTAAGCTGGGGGGAGAGGTAGAGATGTGGAGGGTAGGGATAGAGTCCATAATGATCTAGACGAATTGGAGATTGGGCCGAAAGAAATCTGATGAGGTTCAACAAGGACAAGTGCAGAGTCCTGCACTTAGGATGGAAGAATCCCATGCACTGCTACAGGCTGGGGACCAACTGGCTAAGCGGCGGTTCTGCAGAAAAGGACCTGGGGATTACAGTGGACGAGACGCTGGATATGAGTCAACAGTGTGCCCTGGTTGCCAGAAAGAGGAATGGCATATTGGACTGCATTAGTAGGAGCATTGCCAGCAGATCGAGGGATGTGATTATTTCTCTTTATTAGGCCACATCTGGAGTATTGCGTCCAGTTTTGGTCCCCCCAGTACAGAAAGGATGTGAACAAATTTGAGAGAGTCCAGTGGAGGGCAACGAAAATTATTAGGGGGCTGGAGCACATGATTTATGAGGAGAGGCTGAGGGAACTGGGATTATTCAGTCTGCTGAAGAGAAGAGTGAGGGGAGATTTAATAGCAACCTTCAGCTACTTGAAGGGGGAGGGGGGCGTTCCAAAGGGGATGGAACTAGGCTGTTTTCAGTGGTGGCAGATGACAGAACAAGAAGCAATGGTCTCAAGTTGGGAGGAGGTCTAGGTTGGTCTTAAGTGAGGGAGGTCTAGGTTGGACATTAGGAAAAACTATTTCACTAGGAGGGTGGTGAAGCACTGGAATGGGCTATCTAGGGAAGTGGTAGAATCTCTATCCTTAGAGGTTTTTAAGGCCTGGCTTGACAAAGCCCTGGCTGGGATGATTTGGTTGGTCCTGCTTTGAGCAGGAGGTTGGACTAGATGACCTCCTGAGGTCTCTTCCAACCCTAATCTTCTATGATTCATAGTTAGGGCCCTACCAAATTCACGGCCATGAAAAATGCATCATGGACTGTGAAACCTGGCCTCCCCCCTCCTGGGAAATCTGGTCTTTTGTGTGCCTTTACCCTACACTATACAGATTTCAGAGGGAGACCAGCATTTCTCAGATTGGGAATCCTGACCCAAAAGGGAGTTGCAGTGGGGGTTGCAGTTATTGCCACCCTTCTGCGCTGCCTTCAGAGCTGGGTGGCTGGAGAACGGCAGCTGTTGGCCGAACGCCCAGCTTAGAAGGCAACTCCCAGCCAGGAGCAGTGCAGAAGTAAGGGTGGCAATACCGTACCATACCAGCAGCAGTGAAGAAGTAAGGGTAGCAGTACACAACGCCCCCTACAATAACCTTGCGACCTCACCCCCCCACTCTTACAACACTGAAATTTCAGATTTAAATACCTGAAATCATGAAATTTATGATTTTTAAATTCCTATGACCATGACATTGACCAAAATGGAGCGTGAATCTGGACTTAGAGGTAAGGAGCTTTTTGGGGGAACATTAGAGATATTAGTAGCTGAGATTATAGAGAGTCCTCAACCTTCATGGTCAAAGCTAGCATAGCCATTCATTGATTGCTATCAACACCAAGGGTATCCAAGAAGGGACTGTTCCCTGGTAAAGGGGAGAAATCTTGAGCAGAAGCTTCAAAGGGAAGCCAGATTAATTTTCCTCCAAACCAAAAAAATCCTCAGCATGCCAGATAAAAAGAACCTTTGTGTCTGAAACCTCACAATTTCTGTGCAAGACTCTTCCTTCTGATCCTCCCTCTACGCAGAGTCTTGAGTGTCTGGTGGTAGTCACAGCAAGGCACAGGTCTCACGTTACACTCTATACTCATACCTAAACAACATGCAAGCCCGAGTCAGCTATCTTGGACCAGCCATGGGTTTTTAATTGCAGTGTAGACATACCTCCAGAGGTCAGAACAGAGCTGGTTCTTGCTGTAATTTTAACAAAATGATAAAGATTTGCAAAGAACCAAAACTTTATTGCATCAGTCATTTCCTGAGGGTTCATCCAAAGGCTAGGATTGCTAGTGTCATACATCAACTTCATCCCCTGAGTGGATTTCTCAAAATGCGCCTGCTGAAATTCCTTCTGGGGACAAAGAACCATGCACTTGATGCAGTGCAAAATTAGGTATCCTTTTCAGATCCAAATTATCCTTTGTGGGCAGGTAAGTACAAACAACATGCTGAAAGTCAACCCTAATTTCATTGTAGACCCTTGCATACTCACTATGGAAGCAAGCATACTTGGAAGACAAATTTCTAAAATCTCATAATACACATCCTTTAAATTCAGGGTGTATCTAAAAAAACAAACAAACATGGCAATATAGGATAGAACCAGTGGTCCATTAAATCCAGTATCTAGTGACCGATAGCTGAATCAGTTGAAGTTGCAAGATACCACATAGTGGGCAATTATGGTACTTGCAGAGAAAGCATCCCACCTCATTAGAGGTTGGCTTATGATTAAATGTTTATATACCTTCCAAAACCAGGGAATAACCAGATGCCTGTGCCAATGGAAAAATGTCCTGGTCCAAAAAGAATCTATCTTTGAAGACCATTCACATAAAGGACACAGAAAAGAGGGAAAGGGAGCGTTGTAGTGGTCTTCCTAGTGCTCCACTGACCCAGAAAGCACTTTAGACTTTCCAGATAGACAAAGACTTCATGTTTTTCATGCAGAAAACACAAGACATTTTGTAGCAGTGACTCCATTCATACTGGTCACACCTGCGGTTAACAGAATGAGTGTTGGAAGACAAGTGTCATTCACCATGAATTGTCTATTAGCTTCTGATAGTTTGGTATCCACACAGAACTCAACCAGGATATTTCATCATTAATCTGGTCAAATTTATGTTTCTGCTGCGAGGTGAAATGGCAGGCTCTTTTGGGCAGTGCTCAGCACAACGTGGCCCTGATTTCTAGATGCTATTGTAATACAACTATTATAATAAATACAAAGTTCTGGTGATGTCAGTTACGCTAGTGTTTCTCCAGGAGGTTTGGCTGGAGTCCGACAATCAAGCATCTTAAACGTGTGGTTACCAGCATAGTGGCATTTTGTAGACAGGCACATCAGATTCTCTTTTTGAGTATCTGGTGCCCAATTTAATCACAATGACAAATTAAAGAAGCCTGAGGCTGGTCTTTCTTGTTGCCATTACCTCTGAAAAGCAAGTTTTGAAATTAGTCCCCATATATGTACAAGAACCACACCGCTTTTGTCATTAGGAAAAAAGGTTATTCTTATAGCTTCAGATATCTTTCTGTTCAAAGTAAGTTCATCTTTTCACAGTTCTGGGGAAATACTTCTCCCATCATTTTGTTCTAACTCCTGGAAGGTTGTGGCATAAATGGGTATTCCTACAGCTCTAAAGATATATCTCAAGCATATGGCGTACATATGCCAATTGTATCCTGTCCATTTCATTCTGTCCAAAATGCCAAGGCCTTACATCGTCAAGGTTGCTGCAGGCAAGATATAAAATTCATGCACTAATTGGCATATTAGGCATTTGGAAAACTATTCACAGAAGCCTAGAGGAAGGCTGAAGATTTGCAGAGTAAATTTTAATGTCTCTTCAGAGATGTCTTTTAATAGGAAGGTGCTACTGAGTTGGTTCCCACATAACTCTTTAGTTTATAAAGTTCTTGCTTTATCTGGAGGCATGTCCATTCTTGCCTGTTGTTTAATTATTATAGTATATCTGCCCTCCTGAGCCCCACCCCCCCACACTTCTGGAATTTACTTCTCACTACTTCCTATAAGTAATGGATGAGGAGAAAAGCTGTGCAATAGAATGATAAATTTCTTAATAATTTTCTTTCTGTTAGCAGCTTCTCTCTGAATTCAACCCACCTGGTAGTCTGGTAAATGACCAGAGTATAAATTGAAATTTTCTGTAAAGGGAGAGAGACATATATTGTCTTGAGGCCAATTTAATACATTATATCATGTTCTCTTAGTGCTAATAATGAGTTTCTGGACTGTTTCTGCGGCTGTGGAAGAAGCGTTCTGGTGGCCTGAGCTGAAGGGTGGAGCTTAATTTTCGGCCTTCTAGCAACAACATCGGACAATCTCCAAATTCCACAGGTGTGTGTGGGGGGGGGGAATTATCCATTAGTAATGAATTCTGAGAGAAGCTGCTAACAGAAAATTATCAGGTAAGAAATTTCCCTTTCAATGTGTCATAACTGAGTGAAATCAGAACCATTTTCACTGGAAGACTCAGGTGCCTTTTCTCATTGTGCATTATTTCCTTGCCATATTTCAATTTGCCATTTTTTTTTGCATTAGGCTATAGATTTGTTCAAAACAATGGTAAGGGAATTATTTTTATAACTGATGGATGTTTACTTTTTTCAAACATTGTGTGGACAGATCCCTGCTCTAAGTGAAGTATTCATTTTCAGCACACAATCAGACATTTTTTTTTTGAGAGCAGTGTCCATATGGCTATGCACAAATGCTGCTTAGTTCTTCTGCCTCCAACCTGAGGAATATATAAGGGGACATAGCCTCAACAGTTCTTCCTGACTTCTATAAGCAGTGAACAGGGGCTGTTTCAATTTGGAAATATTAATCTCTCCTTTTAATATGTCTGTCTTGTTAAATTTACATTTTGATTCAAAGTTCATTTGTTATTTCTGGGTTTAGAAAATAAACTGGGACGATTTAGCTGCCAAAAAAATACCAGCTCCGTTTAAACCAGTAATCCGGGATGAGTTGGACGTTAGTAACTTTGCAGAGGAGTTTACAGAAATGGATCCCACATACTCTCCTGCAGCCACACCACAAACTTCAGAGAGAATATTTCAGGTAATTGTAGAATATTACAACTCCCTTAAAAGATGCATTTCCCACATGTATGGCCAGATTTTGTCCTTGCCATGTGTGCTTGCAATTGCCATTTAAGTTATTGGGAGTTGAATACAGAATCAATGTTCAGAATTGGATTGTTAATGTAGTTTTAACAGATAAATTATGCTATGTTATACCTTTTATATAAATCTTTCTTGAGGATAGAAATTGTGAAGCATTAGTAAAGTTGATAGTTTAATGAACAGCCAGTGTTACACTCTTGTACACTTATTATTATATAATACATGTTTCTCATTTAACCACTGTTACATATGAAAAATTAGATTTCATTAGTATCATTTTTGGGCCCAATCCTACCCCATGGAAGTCAATGTCAAATCTCTTGTTGATTTCAGTGGGATAGGATCAGGTCTATTACATAAGGAAATATCTTTGCTACCAGATTCTTTTAACCAAATACAGAAGCAAATTAATCTATTTGATAACTGGAATGCTGGTTTTGTCTGATTATTCCTATGTACAAATTAGGGCTGTCGATTAATCGCAGTTAATTCACGTGATTAGCTCAACAAAAAAAAAGAATCACGAATAATTGCAGGTTTAATTACACTGTTAAATAAGAGAACACCAATTGAAATTTATTAAGTATTTTGGATGTTTTTCTATATTTTCATATATATCTTGTATTCTGTGTTGTAATTGAAATCAAAGTATATATTTTGATTACAAATATTTGCACTATAAAAATGATAAATAGAAGAAATAGTATTTTTCAATTAATCTCAGACAAGTACTGTAGTGCAATCTCTTTGTCCTGAAAGTGCAACTTACAAATGTAGATGTTTTTGTTTGTTACATAACTGCACTCAAAAACAAAACAATGTAAAACTTCAGAGCCTACAAGTCCATTCAGTCCTACTTCTTTTTCAGCCAATCTCTAAGACAAACAAGTTTGTTTACATTTATAGGAGATAATGCTGTCCTCTTCTTATGTACAATGTCACCAGAAAGTGAGAACAGATATTTGCATGGCACCTTTGTTGCCAGCATGGCAAGGTATTTACGTGCCAGATATGCTAACCATTCGTATGCCCCTTCATGCTTCAGCCACCATTCCAGAGGACATGCTTCCATGCTGATGATGCTCATTAAAAAAATAATGAATTAATTAAGTTTCTGACTCAACTCCTTGGGGGAGAATTGTACATCCCCTGCTCTGATTTACCCATATTCTGCCATATATTTCATGTTATGGCAGTCTCGGATGATGACCCAGTACATGTTGTTGTTCGTTTTAAGAATATTGTCACTGCAGATTTGGCAAAACACAAAGAAGGTACCAATGTGAGATTCGTAAAGATGGCTACAGCACTTGACCCAAGATTTAGGAATCTGAAGTGCCTTCCAAATCTGAGATGGACAAGGTAGGGAGCATGCTTTCAGAAGCCTTAAAAGAGCAACACTCTGATGCGAAAACTATAGAACCTGAACCACCAAAAAACAAAATCAATCTTCTGCTGGTGGCATCTGACTCAGATGATTAAAATGAACATGCATCGGTTCGCACTGCTTTGGATGTTTTTTGAGCAGAACCCATCATCAGCATGGATGCATGTCCTCTGGAATAGTGTTTGAAGCATAAAGGGACATGTGAATCTTTAGTGCATCTGACAGATAAATATCTTGCAACGCCGGCTACAATAGTGCCACGAGAATGCCTATTCTCACTTTCAGGTGACATTTTGAACAAGAAGCGGGCAGCATTATCTCCTGTAAATGTAAACAAACTTTTGTCTGAGCGATTGACTGAACAAGAAGTAGGACTGGGTGAACTTGCAAGCTCTAAAATTTTACATTGTTCTACTTTTGAATGCAGTTTTTTGTACATAATTCTATATTCGTAAGTTCAGCTTTCATGATAGAGATTGCACTACAGTACTTGTATTAGGTGAATTGAAAAATACTATTTCTTTTGTCTTTTTACAGTGCAAACACTTGTAATAAAAATGAATATAAAGTGAGCACTGTACACTTTGTATTCTGTGTTGAAATTGAAATCAATATATTTGAAAATGTAGAAAACATCAAAAAAAGTAAATAAATGGTATTCGATTATTGTTTAACAGTGTGATTAATCGCACAATTAATCTGTTTAATTGTGCGATTAATCACGATTAATTTTTTTGATTGCTTGACAGCCCTACTACAAATTAGTACTAGGGCTGTCAAGCCCTAATTAATTGCTTTTGCCTTTCGTGTGGATCTCCCATGTCCTCGGAGGCGAGGAGGAGACTAAGGAGAAGGGGAGTGTCAGCCATCTTCGATACACTGTACTTCTACCTCAGGACATATGCCTCTGTGGATGCAGCGAGGAGAAGATAGAGGCAAAATCTTGCAGATTTTTGTCCCTCTGGCCCTGGGCCTATAAATGTTTCCACAGAAAATGGCAATCCACCAATACGCTGTCCACACAGGTGAAAAATACACTCAAAAATTTTTCTTATTGTGCTTCCTGCAGTTGGAATTCTTCCGATATGTAATGATTTGAGCTCTTATAATATTTCAGGATGGGAATAATTTTCAGGAGCACCTAAAACATGTTTTTAAAAATTCAATAAGATTCAGATGCATTTGAAAATTGTATCAGACACCTTGTAAATTCTTTTTGGTCACATATTTCATTTATATCTTTGAATTTACTTTAAGTTGTGTTCTTTAAAGTATGTGTCTATTATGAACATAAATGAATGCCATTTTCAACATGTAGTCCACTGGGAAATTGAAAAAAAAATAGGATGTTATATTTGAATGGTGTGTGTGGTATTAAATAACTTTCAATTTTTGTAGACTTTAATATCTGTTTTCTAAAAGATTAGTGTCACTTATTTTTCCAAATACACAAAATAAAATTACTTAAGAAAAAATATTGACCAAACAAGCACTTTAAATATATACTGTGGGGAAATTAGACTTTTAAAAATCATAAACAGGTCACTATTACACCTGTAGTCTTGGATATATTATTATTTACAGGGAATTAACCTTCCCTGTTTATGAAGTATCCATACTGTTTTATTTTAAGTGATTTTATTTGCTTAGTCACTTAGAGAAATCCAACTTATTTGGGTATACGTCCACCAAAAATACATCAATATTATAATATTTCCGTGTGCTACAAATAATGTTCAAGATATTTATCTTAAATTTTAAATATTTATTTGAATTTCTTGTAGATCTAGATATATTGAACATATTAACTGAAGATTACTCCACTAACAATGCAGCATACCATTTTTGTTTGGCCATTTAAAGCAATTTTTAGACATATGCCCCATCATAATGTAAACTTATTTGATACCTTAACTATAGGTGTCTTGAGAAGCTAGCCAGTTTGAAGTATGAACCTTTGTCACCAGTGAAAAAGAACTGAATCTGTGAGTCAGATTTTCTGAGCATTTTTTTTACACAATCTCTTATTATTATTATTATTATTTTTTTTTAAAGAAAGAAGATTGTATAACCTCTTTCAGGAAGGCACTTTTCTAGTGATTTAAAATGAAGTTGCATTTTTACCTTGACTATAATGACATTTACCCATTTTTCAGTAGATTACTTTTTACTGTCTGCATTATACGTTATACAGACAACCTCAAGATTTTACATTTATTTTCTGTCTTTGTTCTGTAGGGATATTCTTTTGTTGCTCCTTCTATCTTGTTTAAACGCAATGCAGCCACAGTAGATCCTGTTCAATTTCATATGGGAGTTGAAAGACCTGGAGTTACAACTATTGCCAGAAGTGCTATGACGAAGGTAATGATAATATCTAAATAAACATAACCCTTGATAATTTGAAGATGCTTATGATTTACGAGGTAATAATTTTATTCTAGGCTAAATAAATTCTGAGCCCAGAGGCTGAAGTACTAATTAGTTGTTGAGAAGTAATTTACAGTCATTATGCAGTTATCTGCTCTTTGTCTGCTAATGGATCTTCTGCCAATTAGAGCATTTAATTTACATACCATATAGTTAAGAAATAACTTGAGTCCAGCCTTGAAAAACTGTTGTTAAAAATCACATCAGAGACACCACCTTACCAGCAGAAGAGCAATGAAAATGTTAACAATACTTTTACTCAACTGTCAAAATGGTACTCCCCCCTACGTAAGTATATGTTTTTAAAGCTGCTGCAATTAGTAACTCACATCTCTCTTTCTTTGATACGTCTGCTTATATTTGCATAGGTAGATACAGCTAGAAATAGATTCTGTATGATGACCATCATTGTGGTATCTCCAAATAACCACACAGTTAGTGGATCAATATCTATAAATCATCCCTGGAACTATCTGAATATTTTTGTAGATAAAGTTATTCTGATAGTAAATTTATTTCAGAATTTTTGTTTAAAGTATCTTAAATATGTGTGTCCTCTGCACCATTAGAGAAGTTTATGTATATAATTGCACATTATTATTCTCAGACAGTCTTAATTTATACTATGTTGTTTACCAAAATGAGATCTCTTTTAAAACTGTATTTTTGGATCTTTAAACGCAGATGAATAATTATCACCAAAATTTATTATGTGTCTTTGACTACCAAAAGTATTCCACAGAACTAAATACAGTCAGTTTCATGACAGGACTCTCCATTTTATCATCACTATGAACTGGATCTGAAAGAGAAACCACTGGGAGAAGGAAGTTTTTCCATCTGTCGAAAGTGTTTACACAAGAAAACTAGCCAAGAATATGCAGTAAAAATAATTAGCAAAAGGTATTAAATATTTACTAAGACGATAGAAACTTTTTTTTTGCTTAGTATCACCAATGAACTAGAATAATGTTCACTGAATTTTTCATGTGAAAAAAATGTTGGTTTAAAACATCAGTTTTCTTTTGAGAATTCAAAAGGCATTATACGGTAATATGAATTTTTTTAAGTGGAAGATTTTGAAGTTTGGGGCTAATTGTGCCTCTTGCAGAATGGGATAAAGAGGAAAGAAACCTTCATAATACTTCTCTTGTGCAGATTTGTTCCCAGTTGTTTTGTGCCCCCATTACGTTCCTCTCCCAGCAGAATAGTTTGCTGGGTCCTCTCACAGAGTCTCTGGATCCACTTGGGATCTTTAGAAGGTCAGGGCCATCTGAATGGCAGTCCATGGCACCTTTCCCTGCACCCCAGCCAGCTTCCAGGCAGCATAAAGCCAGTAGCTGATCTGGGGATCCCCAGCATGGATTCAGAGACAAGCACAAAGTTAATATAATCTCAGGCTGTATTAACTTTCTGTGAGAAGCTCAACTGGGCCAACGAGGGATGATGCGTATCCCTTTCCTGACTCACTGTGGGGCCCAGGACAAGGGAAACACTACTGTGGGGGCAGCTGACCTACTTTCTGTGATCCTCTGATTCCAGAATGCCAGTGGCAGATGAATTAGAATGAATAGAATTCTAATTTTATTTTCAATGTGTTGTTACCTTCCTTTCCTCAGCAGTCACTGAAACAATTGTGTTTATCCGTTTGTAGACTGCTGGCAAGGAAGGGAAGGGTTGGGGAAGTGTGAATATTTAGTAACCAGATAGAAAGATACCCTGTTTCCCCGAAAATAAGACATCCTCCGAAAATAAGGCCTACTTACAGTTTTGCCTCTCGTTGTAATATAAGGCATCCCCCCGATAATAAGACCTCCCCGATAATAAGGCATCCACCGATAATAAGGCATTTTTCATTTCTGAAAAATAAGACATCCCCTGAAAATAAGACCTAGCGCATCTTTGGGAGCAAAAATTAATATAAGACACTGTCTTATTTTCGGGGAAACAGGGTAGATGATCACTTTGGGATCATGAGTCCCCCCAGTCTGCGATATTTTGCTGTACCTCTTTCTGCAAATATTGGAGGCAGTTCAAACTTGTCCTTGAGGCTCTGGGATTTGACTACACCCCTTATGCCTTTATGCCAGATTCTCTGTATTGGTTGGTGCAAACAGAGCATGAGTTCAGTGCTCCTTATCCATTAATTTACTAGCTTTTAAAGTTGACTCTGGTGATAGTGAGCAACATCTTTTTCTCTACTCTTTCCTTTCCCTTACAGGACTAAACTTTCAGGGGCTTTGTCCCTAGATAGGATCACATAACGAGTTCCTTCTTGTTATTTCTCCCCCTACCCCCCGCCCCCCAAGTATGCCAGTGCAGGCTGGAGCAAGCTGAAGGTAAGAGTTGGTCCACCTGCAAAGATTACTGCCAGCTTTTTACGGAGATCAGAAACTGGAGAGCTTATTGGGACTTCTGTTTCTCCCATCACCAGTTGCGCATGCCACAACCCCCAACAACTCCCTCAGTCGAGACTCCCCTGAAATATGGGTCAGTCCTTTTCAGCTCTTGGGATTCAGCAAACTGGATTCCCCTCACAGGCTCATTATTCTTCAAGGGTAAGTCTAAAACTCCTGAACACCTTGATTCAGTCTCCTATAAAGGGAAAAGCTCCAGGGTCCTATACTACATCCACATGTGAATAATTGAGTCACATAGTAAAGACTTTGGCATCTTTTCAGATTTTCTTCCTAAAATAAACATCTAAGCTCCCTTAGGGATGGTCTCCCTTTGCTTCTTCTAGTTACATTTCAGTTGATGAGGTGCACCATCATCCCCACTCTATCCCCCACCCCTCCCAAAAAGTCAGACCTTTTAATCCATTCCTCAGCTCCTGCGAGGGAGTGGGGTCGGGGGCTTGCTGTGCTCCAGCCGGGGAGTGGAGTCAGGAGCTTCTCCTGCTCCGCGCGGCTCCTGGGATGATCCCCCTCCGGTTCCTACGTAGTATGTGGAGGTGTGGCCAGGTGGCTCTGCATGCTGACCCGTCTGCAGATGCCGCCCCCTCAGCTCTCATTGGCCACAGTTCCCAGCCAGTGGGAACTGCGTGGGCGGCGCTTGCAGACAGGGCAGCGTGCAGAACTGCCTAGCTGTGCCTCCACGTGGGAGCCAGAGGGGGGGACATGCTTCTGGGAGCTGCTTGAGGTAAGCACTGCCCAGAGCCTGCACCCCTGATTTCCCCACTCCCCCCCGCGCCCCAATCCCTTGACTCAGCCCTGATTCCCCTCCCACCCTCCAAACCCCTCAATCCCAGCCTGGAGCCGCCTCTTGTACCCCAAACCCCTCATCCATGGCCCCACCCCAGAGCCAGCACCCCCAGCCAGAGCCTTACAAACCCCGTACCCCAGCCCTCTGCCCCAGCCTGGAGCACCTTGCTGCACCCCAAACTCTTCATCCCAGTCCCACCCCAGAGCCCGCACCCCCAGCTGGAGCTCTCACCCCCAACTCCCTGCCCCAGCCCAGAGCCCCCTCCTGCACCCTGAACTCTTCATTTCTGATCCCATCCCAGAGCCCTCACCACCCTTGCACATGCCTACCCCCAATTTCATGAGCCTTCATGCCCCGCCATACAATTTCCATTTGGCCCTCAGGCCAAAAAGTTTGCCCACCCCTGCATTAGCACCTCTCCCTAAAAAGCAGAGGTTTTGCCTTTGGATCATAATAAACTGTAAAACCAGAGAAACGAAATGTTCTTTCCCCCAGACATGTATGCAACTAAGGGGAAGAAAGTGGTAGCTAAAGGAAAAGGATGAGCAGGTTAAAGCCAGTAGCAAATATCTCCCAGTCAGAACTAAAACAGAATTTGCTATTCCCCTCCAACCTCCTCAGAAGAAATCATTAGGATAGAATGGAAAACGCCTGACAAAGGGAAAAGTCTCATTAGATAAGCCCAGGGTCTTAGAATCTAATTTTTTCTTTTTATGCTCCCTGAGATTGATGTAGAAGTTGCATTCCTGGCAGTGGACATGGTCATTCCTGCTGAGGGTGATTTCTTCCCAAACAACCCCACTCACAAGAAGATATAAACCACCCTTAGAAGGTGGCTCTTATAGCTTCACTGACTTTGTTAGAGCTAAAATCACAGACAGTCGTATACTTTGTTGTTGCAAAGACTTGAAAAGGCTTGAGCCTCAGTATCATGATGAATTCAATTCAGCACTAAATAAAATATCTCTAGTTACTGCGTTCATGATGGACAGATCCATACTCTATATAAAGCAGGCAGCAAAAGTTGTGGCAGCAAACTCAGAGGTCAGGTGCCAACTCTGGTTTAAACCTACAGTAGATAAGTAAATCATCTGTGCCACACAATTCTGAAGGATTCTTATTCAGGGAGAAGATTGGTAAGATGGTAGTTGCACACACACAGCCCAGGCATTTACTCTCTACTCCAGTTAAGTCTGAGAAGGACTACAAGTGCTGATACAAAGGTAGACACTCTTTTCGCTCCTATCCATAGCAAATGTACCAGAAAAGTGACTCCAATTCCTGTTAAAATCTGGACCTGAAACACTAGATGAAAGCCCAGATCAGGAAAGTGGTTCAATCCCTGCTTCTAGCCCAAATAACCAGTATGTCAACAACTGGCTCACCTCCATCCAGTTGTTTTTTAAATGTATTATAAATCCAGGTATGAAGCACAGAGGGGATTATCTGGGTTACTTCTTGCGAGCTTCCCAATTCCTTATCACACTATTGTCTACCTAAGAGTCTAAGATAGGTGCAAAGAGAGCCAGAATCTTCGTATTGCTGGAAATCCAGACACTGATTTCTGAGGTGTCATGGAGCTGTATGTTATTGATCCATCTTTACTGTGACTCCTAAGTCTTCTGGTCTCATGCCTAGAGATTCCTCTAATGACAAGACAATATAAGACAACATAAGGGATTCTTCTTAAGAGCCTGGAATCACTTTCAACAGCAAATGAAAAGTAAAATGAAAAGACCATCCAAAGTGGTTCAGTTTGTCACTTTTTGGTTACAGGAAACCCACATGATAATAGGGTCTTTCCTCCACAATACATACCTCAGAATCCTAACCATAAGTGACACCCTTTCATTTTGAGCACAACTTGGGAACTGCAATATATAGTGGACATGTTCAAGGTCAAAAAGGATGCAACTGGTGATCCACCAGCTCCTTTATAAATCAATACAGACCTGACCTTCCCTCTACAGAAGCAACCTTTGGTGGGAATGTTCTTCAAGCAGTTGCCCCAAGATAGATTAACATTAATTTTGGGGAAAGAAGGAACACTGTTCTATCTTCTCTCCATCCCTACAATTTTTTTTTCATACTGCTAGCTATGTCCCACATGTCTTGGATTCAGAGAGACGTCGGTATAGAATGAAAATAATTGTTACCTGATGATTCTTCTTCAAGAATGGGTGCTCCATTTCAGATGTCAGTGTGTTCAACCATGTCACTGTGATCAACCACTGTTGATCAGAGATTTTCAGTAGCCATGTCCGTCTGGGACGCGTGTGCGCAGTAGTCGTCTCGCGGTGCCGTTGGTACCTCATCTAGCACGCACACGGTCCAACCCCCTCAGTTCCTTCTCCATCGTCCTTGGCCCGAGATAGAACTCCATGGCGATGTGCCAACGTCTCTCTCAAACCTAGAGAAATATAATTAGAAATAGTTTTAGCTTTTTCCTAGTATAGTTAGTTTAGTTTAGTTTGTTTTAATCAGTTCAATTTTTTTTTCTTTTCCCCTCAGAGTGGGGAACACATAACCTGATTCAAAATGCCTGGTTCCCAGGCTTTAAGAGATGCGGGTCTTGCCACGAAGCTATGCCCATCTCAGACAGCCATTCTCTCTGTGTTGACTGTCTCAGTGATTTGCACATTCCCCAGAAGTGCACTCACTGCAGCAATTTGAAAGTGAGGGCCAGGCATGATCGAGACCGCCATCTAAAACTTATTCTGATGAGAAATTTCTCCAACCGGCCTCCAATCCAGGGTAACAGACTCCTTCCACAGGGAACTCCCCGGGCACATCCACTTCAACTAAGGACAACACTCAGTCCTCTAAAAGATCATGGAAAAGAGCCATGACCTCTCTGCAAAGAGAGCTGCATAAAAAGAAACCGTCTTTTGCCAGGTCGCTGTCCTCGGTGCCGATCAACCCCTGGGTGAGCACCTTGAGGCACGGGGAACCTCTGGCACCATCTGCACCGGGACCTCTGCTGAGCCCCATCAGAAGGACAAGGAGTCAAGGCACAGATCAAAGACTGCCTCCTCCCCTACGGCACTGACCACACAGGTGAGAGACATGGTGTCAAGACCCTCACTAGTGGCTGTGCCTCCACCACCAGCTTCGACGACCCCATCGGTACCAACAGACAGAGCAAAGATGGTACTGTTCACACCAAGTAAGTCGAGCTACAAGTCATCAGCACAGTCCATGGTACCACCTAAAATAGCGACATGGATACCGATGGTGCCGAAACCAACACCACCACAGAAATTCCTGCAACAAAAAGACATCATGGTCTTTTCAATGCTGCAGTCCCTGCTCTTCGGCACCGATGGCTCCCCTGAGCATACAGCATCAGACCAAGCAGTATCGCCTACCACCCCACCATTCTCAAGCAAAGATGATGACCACCAGAAAGAGGGTGTCTTCTCTTCACACCATTCTTCACCTACAGAATACAGACCACCTTGGGGACTCATGAAATCAAAGGCCTCTTGCATGCAACCATGGTACAGATAATCATGGATGTGCCCACCTATGCCCTTCCCCAAGCAATGGTCATCTTGGGATCCATGGGCAGTGTACAGGACTCGTGACAACAGACCCTCAACTCAACCCAGAGGTGAAATCAGATCACCATCCTCTGTAATGGAGATCTCGGAAGCCCAGGAGGAAACGGGGGATGAGAGGGAAGAGGGCACCAAGCGGGACATAACATCATCTGCGCATAACTCTTGTTCATCACCAGAGGAAGTATTAATGCCCCTACCTCCCACCACAGCAGACAATTTCAAACAGTTCCAAGAACTGTTCAGAAGGGTAGCTCAGAGTCAGGAGATCCCAGGGTTCAGGACACCTATCACAAACTCCTCCAAATTCTACAGACATAGTTGACTTCTAAAATAGCGTTGTCATAAATGATGCCATCATGTAACTGGCGGAGACAGTCCGGCAAACACCAGCTACTGTTCCACTAGCATGCAAGAGGGCAGACAAGAAGTACTACATGCCCGCCAAGGGTATGGACTTCCTTTTTTCCTGCCCACCACCCAACTCCTTAGTAGCAGAGGCCGCAAATCAGTGCGGCAAACAACCACAGTACAGGTCCACTTCACAGGACAAGGAATACAAGAGATTCGACCTTTTCAGTCAGAAGGTCTATTCTTTCGTGACACTACAATTCCGAGTGGCAAATTACAGTGTGCTCCTAGCCAAGTATGACCACGATAATTATGGCAAGCTGAACGAATTTATTAATGACCTCCCAGAGGAGAGGCTTGCAAAATTGAAAGCCGTACTACCTGAGGGATAGCTGGTTGCCAGAACGGCACTACAAGTATCCCTGGACATAGCAGTCACCACGGTGAGAATAACATCCACAGCCATAGTAATGCACAGAGCATCATGGCTGCAATCTTCGTGGATTCCAAAAGATCTCCAAGTGAAAGTGGAGTATTTCCCATTTGACAGAGAAAAGCTTTTTTTCTACCAAAACAAACAAGGTCCTCCACTTGATGAAAGATTTCTGAATGACTCTCCATACTCTTGGTATATATACACCTTCCACGAAACGGAGACATTACCAGCAATACCAACGAAACAAACATCTCATTCCAACGTCAGCAACAACAAGAATATGAACCACAAAGTCAACGTCCACTACCAATACAGAGTCCTACCTTTCGGCCTTTCCCTTGCGGAAGTAGTGGCACACTTCCCCAAACAAGGGATAATGGTTTTCCCATATCTAAATTGTTTACTAAAAGGGCCTACCTGGTTAGAAGCAATAGACAACATTCAGAGGACTATCACTCTCTTCTGGAAGGTAGGGTTATAAATAAACAAAAAGCAACCCTAGTTCCTATATAACAATTGGACTTAATCGGGGCTCGCCTCGACTATAGAGGCCAGGGCATCATTACCGTTGAACAGATTCATAACTCTGACCAATCTTATCTAGGTAGTCACGACTAGCCCACAAATATCGGCATGAACCTGCCTACAACTATTAGGTCACATGGTGGCCATGACCTTTGTGGTAAGACATGCAAGACTACACATGTGCTGCCTACAAGGTTGGCTGAGTTCAGTGTACATATCAAGCAAACACAACCTGAACAGAAGCCTAACACTGCCATCAAAAGTACTGGAATCTCTACAGTGGTGGACAAGACTGGAGAATGTGTGCACAGAGATTCCCTTTCACCAGGATCTACCATCAATAATAATCACAACAGATGCCTCGATAGGCTAGGGCACCCACCTGAACTAGCATATGATCCAAGGGAGGTAGTCATCTACCAAGATCCAACTAAACATCAACCTGTTCGAATTACGCGCGGTGTACAATGCCTATCTTCACTTCCTCCCACTGATAAATTACAAAACAGTATGTGTGATGACCGACAACATAGCCTGCATGTTCTGTATAAATTGACAAGGAGGAGCCCACTCTCACTCACTATGCATTGAGACCATGAGGCTGTGGAACTGGTGCATAAATCACAATATAAATGTCACAGTCTCCTACCTCCCCGGGTGCCAGAACATGACAGCGGACACACTGAGCAGACAGTTTTCTCAGGACCAGGAATGGTAAATGAACAGCAAAGTCCTACTAGCCATATTTCAATGATGGGGCTTCCTTCCCATCAATGTATTCACAAAATTACAGATGCCCTCTCTTTTTCTTGAGAGCAGGAATGGGACCCCAATCACTGGGAGATGCCTTCCTAATCACCTGGGAGAAATCACTCTTTATGCATTCCCACTGATACTGCTGCCCCCACAGGTAATACACAAGATACATGTTGACATAGCCAAGTTCATACTGATAGCCCTGACATGGCCCAGACAGAACTGGCACCCTTACCTGATGCACATGGCAGTATGCGCTGCATGAACTGTCCCACTTCGGACGGACCTGCTATCATTTATAGTTGAGTATAGTGCTATTATTTAAAGCGATATTATTTTATCCAAAATGGATTTAATGTTTCCATACAGCTTTGGAAGTACTTCTCTGGCATGAGGGTGGAACAGGTAGTGCCAATGTTTCAAGCCTAATGGGCAAGTCTGAATTCCTTATGGTGTTTGTAAAATAACAAAGTTTTTATTCTTAACATGCCAAGACATGACTGAATCATAAATTTGTTTTGTTTTATTTATTTAGCCCCACTCTGCAGGACTCACTTGTTTGGTTGGTTCAGTTTACTTGTTTGAAGGTGCTGACTTCTAATTGTGTATATCAAAAGGGCAACTGTTCTAATGTTCCAAAATCTGGATTAGGAAGAATTTAAAAAAAATAGATGTAACAATTTTGACTTGAAATTTGCTTTGTTAAACTTGGTAATTTTCCAGAATGGAAGCCAACACCCAGAGGGAAATAACAGCTTTGAAACTCTGTGAAGGACACCCCAATGTAGTGAAGTTGCATGAAGTTTATCATGATCAGGTATTTTGAAGAAACTATAATAAGCATTTTCCAAACACATTTTGTTGTGCATAGCATTAAACTCTTGTGATAAAGCTTACTGCCACTCTGTATAGGCAGCTTTTTCCAACTAATTGAGTCTTGTCTACCTAGAAAAATTATAGCAAAAGCATTAAAACCAAAGGAGATTACATTTTTATTGTATATAAATAAAAATGTATTTGCGGGAACTCAGGTATACTTACGTTCCTTCAGAGGTATTGTGAAGTTTAAATGATATTTGTAACACGCTTGGAAATCCTTAAATTAATGGTGCTACACAAGTACCAAAGATTATTTCATAATTTTGTTTGTTTTCAAATGAGGCAACCCAAATAATTTAATAAATTACCAGATTTAAAAGCAGTTCCTTTAAAAAAAAAATTAGAATGTGCTTGAGTTTTATTTAGTTATAGAAACCTCAGTTATCTACTGTATCCGAGCATAGCTCAAATGTAGTGGACAGTGGTGGCCTCAGGGAAACCAGAGCAGCTGGGGGCCTACTCTATCTTCTTCTGCTGGTGTAAGCTCCCCAGCAGAAGATCAGGTGTATTGAAGCTGAGCTCCTCTCCACCCCTGACATGCCCCCAGCCCCCTCCCAAAATGTTCCCTATGCCCTTATGAAAGGGTCTGAGGGAACAGCTGGTAGGCATATGCAGCACAAAAATGCACTTAGCAAACTGAAGAATCTGACCCACAATCTTTAAGGATGGAGGAGATTTACATTTTCACTATTTATACTTTATGTACTAAAATATGTTCAGAATGTATTATCAATGTACTTTTTTGAGTTCTTAAGCAGAAAAATCTGTTTAAATTAGCTCTTCGTGGCAAGGTGCTATCTTCATTTTCTTCCTTTGAGCACAATCAATACTTAATAAACAAGATATAACAATAAATGTACTTTTAGATTATAGACTCATAGACTCATAGACTTTAAGGTCAGAAGGGACCATTATGATCATCTGGTCTGACCCCCTGCATGCTGCAGGCCACAAAACCGTCCCTACCCTTCCCTTGACTCTGCTGATGAAGTCCCCAAATCCTGTGTCTTGGTGACTTCAATTGGCAGAGAACCCTCCTGCTAGCGATCCCTGCCCCATGCTGCGGAGGAAGGCGAAAAACCTCCAGGGCCTCAGCCAATCTACCCTGGAGGAAAATTCCTTCCCGACCCCAAATATGGTGATCATTAAGACCCCGAGCATGTAGGCAAGAGTCTCCAGCCTGACCCTTGTTAGCCATTATACTATTTACCTGCTATTGCTCGGTATTCCTCAGCTAATTACTGTGAATCTGATTAGCCTACCTCCAACCAGCCACTCATCCTGCTTTTCATCCTTCTGCAACATGTATATACTCACCAACTCGAGGCTTCCGCAGACGAGAGCTGGTCAATTTATTCCAAATTTTGAAATTTAAAAAAAAAATCAATTTTTTCTGAAAAATTCCCTTATTTTTTACTAGCTCTGCTACAAATCTAATCAGGTTCTCCATTGGGAATCCTACTCCGACTGGACCTGCCAATGTTTGTCAGGCTATGACTCTTTTTTGGCAAATCCTGGGACATTAGCCATTGAGAGAATATTTTTTATCCTCTTTCCCTGCCCCTTCCGCTGTGTTCAAGGATAGGGGGAGAGAATTGCAGAAAAAGTAACCTGACAAGCCGTGGTTTTAGCTTAACTAATGAGATATAGTCTCTGCCAAAATTATGCCCACCCATCTGCACAGTTCTGCACATCTTTTCATACTTGTCTCGCCTGCCCCAGATTATATCCTTAGAAATTGTTGTTGCGAGATAGGACTGTTTAATGGGGTTTACAAATCCCAAACTGAGCATCAGCAGAAGGGAGAGGAGAGTCTTCCCTGCTTAAAGGCTATCAGGCTGATCACACCCCTGCATAGCTACCAGAACTGCCAGTCATGGACACATGCAGCCACAGCTGTGACCAATGAAGTAAATAAGACCAGCTATGAAAGAGGGAGAACAGAGAGGGAAAGGGCCTGGGATAGCAGAGGGGCAACAGCCCAGGCCATGCTGCTTCTGAGAAACTGACAGACAAAAGGAGACTGCAAGCCTTGGAGTTTAAGGGCTGATAGACTCAATTTAAGTTAAGAATTCATGGACTGGTCTAATTGTAGATGAAGAGGACCAGTTAAGACAAACCTAGGATCCCTAGACAGACTGAATCAAGAGCAGTTGACACAGTGACAATGGCCATCTCAGATACTCATACCCATTGTTTTTCAAGGCTGGCTGGCTAACCAGCCCCATCTTACTTAAGGGAACTACTGAGTTCTCAATTCCAAGGTACCAAAAGCTTTGTGAGGATGGGCTGGTGAGGTCACAGCCCATCTGACAGAGTGAAGAAAGTGTGGGCTATGGTTCTCCCCCTTTTTGTAGAAGCAAAGGCTATATAACAGTCTTCACAATGAGTGGGATTTCCCTGTGCTGGGGAATTCCTATGTAAAGAGGACAGAGATTTCCCAACTGAGGAAACACCACCTACCCTTTATTTCTACAGTCTCTGGGCAGGATTCCCTTAGCATAGGGAAACCTTGATCCAAAACACCCTGCTGGCTTCCTGTCTGTGAGTCTTCTGCCCTTCTGCTACCCACAACAACCTCATGCCCTATATTACTTCCCTGAAAATGCTATAATTTCCCCACTGCTCCCACCTTTACATCTCCATAGCCTTTCTGTTTTTCCTAGATCCCCAAACCTGACTGCTGTCTCGTTGATTTTCCATAACTCATCCCACAGCCCTACTAGTCTCATATTTCCAGCTGTCTCCCACAAATCTTATGTCCCTCCGTCCAGTATTCCTTATGCCTCTGTCAAGGTTCCCTCCCCACTCTGAACTTTAGGGTACAGATGTGGGGACCTGCATGAAAGACCCCCTAAGCTTATTTTTACCAGCTTACGTTAACGGTACGCTGCCACCACCAAGCGTTAACCAAATATTTAGGGAGAGCCACTTGGAACTCTGCCTTCCCCCAAATATCTCCCAAGTCCCTAACCCTCCTTTCCTGGGCAGGCTTGTGAATAATTTCCCCCCAAGCCTCTACACCCCTTTTCCTGGGTAGACTTGAGAATATCCCCTCACCACTTCGTCCTGGTGAACACAGATCCAAACCCTTGGATCTTAAAACAATGAAAAATCAATCAGGTTCTTAAAAGAAGAATTTTAATTAAGAAAAAAGGTGAAAGGAGTACCTCTGTAAAATTAGAATGAAAGATAATCTCACAGACAATCAGATTCAAAACACAGAGGGTTTCCCTCTGGGCAAAACTTTAAAGTTACACAAAGAACCCAAATTTATCGTCCCTCTTATTTGCAAAAGAACTCACAAACAAGAAAATAAAAGTAATCTAACACATTTCTTCTCTAAATACTCACTACCCTATAGGAGTGGGATGGCTCCTTTCTCTGTCTCCGGCAAAAGCCCACACAGCACAGACAAAAGATTTTTTCCCCATTCCAGATTTTAAAGTATCTTGTCTTCTTATTGGTCCTTCTGGTCAGGTGTCAGCTAGGTTATGTGAGCTTCTTAACCCTTTACAGGTAAAAGAGGAATTAACCCTTAACTGTATCTTTATGACAGCCTCCCTGTCCTGGCCTTCCCCCATCAGCCCTCTTCAATCTCTTTGTACTCTTCCTCTACTCACCAACCATGCTGTCCTTCCCTCCTCCTATTATGATCATCTGCCCTCAAAACCCTTTAATGCTACCTCTTCCCCAGTACCCCACTAACCCGCTGCTAACAGTTAACAGGTTTTTAAAAAACAAGGAAATTCCCACAAAAAATACAGTAGTTTCTCCCAATCACAAACAAACATACGACATTTACTCCAAATTCAGACTTTGTAACGGTACAAAAAAAGACTTCTCAAAATTAGTTTTAAGGAGTTAATCTTGTTGAAGTTGTAATTAAGTTTGTGCGTTTGAGCGTAATTCCATGTATTACGGATGGTTGTATGTTGTAAGAAAAAAGCTGTTTGTTGTGAAGTTGTGGAGTCTTGGGTGCATTATTGACAAGCATGTGAATTATGATTGATCTTTATGTTAGTTTGCCTTAAGTGGTGACTTCCTTGATTTAAAAATGTTTTTTGTCTTAAAGGAAATACACTGGCACAACCTTCACTTTTAGTAACAAAGTTTACTGTTTGGGAATATTAAATATATGTTGTGGTTCTGGTAATGGTACAGAAACAGCATATATCCTTCTATGTGGGAGATGGGATTTGAAGCAGTTGAGGATAATTAAAGACTTGGAAGTAAACTTTCAGGAGGCTGTGCAAGGAATTAGCAACTTTTTCTGCTATTAACTTGATGTCTGTGATTAATTCTGCATAATGATAAAAATGTACCCTTATGTGGAAGCAGGCAATGTTCACCACTCTTTGAGCTAGCTACCCACTAATGTGTATAAGTGAATCCCATAGATGTCAATGGTAGCCGTGAGCACCAGACATCTCTAAGAGTAGAATTTGGTTCTTCATATTTTTATACTCATGAAATACTATTATAAACAGAAGCTTGACTCATCCTGACCTCTGGAAAGAGAGATCCTATTGCAGTATAGTATGTAGCTGGTGGAAGGCAAACGTGTTGTGATGCAGAACAAAGAACCAGACAAAAGAACTGATGAGAAAAAAGTGCTGTTATGCTTGCAGTTTAAAAAGCTATATTTTCCCACCTCTTTCTATCTTAAATGATACCGGTTTTGTTTTTTTCTAAATGCAGTTGTGTAGTATTTTTAATAATAAACAGTAAAAAGTTAAGACTTAATTATTAATATTTAAAATCCACAAAGTGTTGACATATAATCTAATTTTTCTAAGGTCTCACATTAAACTGTTTTTTTGTTTTGTTTTCTAGCTTCACACATTTCTAGTAATGGAACTGCTGAAGGGAGGAGAATTGCTTGAACGCATTCAGAAAAAGAAACACTTCAGTGAGACAGAAGCCAGTTATATCATGCGCAAACTTGTTTCAGCTGTGAGCCACATGCATGATGTAGGAGTCGTCCATAGAGATCTGAAACCTGAGGTATAGTGTGGTATAATTGTATATATTATTGTTCTAATACCTTACTTACACATTCTTTAACAAAGCAGTGTATCCCTTCATTAAAGTGCATGGTTACTTTAATGGAAAAAATACTGTAATTTGTGTGTTTTTCATGCCTTTTATTGTTTTTATTAGGAAATGAAAGTTTCACACATTTACTGTCTAATTTTATTTTATTCCATTATGCTATTCGATCAATAGTAAAAACAATAAAATACTCAACTCAGATAAATAACTAATTTATAAACTTTGTTTATAAAATAAAAAATTCAATCTTAACTCCACCATGTAGTAATATGATGAAAAAAAAATCTGTTATCAAAATTCAATTTTATCTACTCAGGGACTAACATTCTATTCTGTTCTGATCATAAATGTATGATTATTGCATAGCATAGCTACAAAGTGCCTCCTTTTACTTCACTGTGAATTCCTGGGTTTGAAGTGGTTGTTTTTGATTGAATTACAGTGTCCTTGTACTGTTTTTACCCTCAATCTCACTCTAGTTTAATACAGTTTCCACCTGAGAAATAAGATAGGTGAGGAGGTAGTGGGTCTGTTAGTTTAAAAAAAAAAAGAGGGTTGTGGGGATCAGCAGTAGTCTGAACTAAAATGGCTGCCTGAAGCCAAAGCTCTGAGGGGATAAGAAAGTAATCTGCCTCCATCAACCCACTAAAGCTACTAAACGCCACCAAAAAACAGAGTACTCCGTTGCAGAGGATGGAGTCTCAAAAAAACAAAACAAAACACACCTCATTCAGAAGGGTGTTTCCAGCTCACAGTGTGGAGAGGCCCCTGACAGAAATGTGAAGGCTGAAGAAAATCAGTCTCCAAGGCAGACATTCGGGAGTTGATCTCCAAGGCCATGAGAAATGATCTGATGACTGATTCTAGCAGTAAAGAAGGAAGTAACTGATTTGAAAGGTTGAGTCACTGTCTGTACCAGAGATTGGCCTAAAGGAAGCTAGTGAGAGACAGCCATTGCTGTAGAGCTGCATGACACTGCTGGAACACAGAGGGAAGCAGCTTAAATTGGATGATATAGAAAATAGAGTGTGAAGGAACAACATCAGAATTAAGAGACTGCCTGAAAATGCTGAAGGAGGAAATACAATCCGGTATGTAAAAATTGTAATCGTAGATTTGTTAAATCTCATTCTCTAAAACGCGTGAAAGTGGAGAGAATGCATATGGTGCTATTCCCCACACTTGGAGCTTATAATAGATCCAGAGATTTGATTGTGAAATTTTATCAATATCCACAGAAAGATTTAACTATGGAAAGAGCCAGAGAACATTCAGAGTTTATACCCCAAGATGACAAGCTGTAATTTTTGCATGACCACTCCGCCCTAACTTTAAAAAAGAGAAGATTGCTTGGGGAAGTTTCAGCAGCACTCAAGAGGGCAGATATATGTTACTGATGGGGATTCTCATTTAATTATCATTCAGCTTTCAAAATCAGTTTTACCCAGTAAGATACTTTATACAAGGAAAAACTACAGTCCACTCAGTTGGGATAGAAATCAAAATCTCAGAAAAGCAAGAGGATACTCTGGAAGTGGAAACTAAGTATAAAATGCTGGAAATACCTTGACAGATGGTCAAATCCAAGAAAATGAGGATAGGAAAAGAAAAAGACTCTAGAAAATGTACTGTCAATGGCAAAAAATGAAGCTGTACAAGAGGACTCAGATACATGAGTAGTTACCAAAAGATTACCCTGAAAGAACTTCTTGAGAGTCATCAAGAATGAACAGTTTAACAGTATCTATGTTAATGTTATAAAGAAAATAGGATGAAGTTTATTTTAATTGGGATGATTATAACTCTGTATTTTAAAGTGTAGAGCATATATAGGACAATAAGATGAGCGTCCCAGGGATGGGGAGATTGGAGAAAATAGAAACGGGTTGTTGAGGAGCACTTAGGGGTTCTGTGTAAATCCTCCCCATGTGACTCAAATAATCAGATGGCAATCTATCCCTAAGGTCTCATATGTGGCGAATGTACTGATAACTCCTTTGGGTTGCAAGAGAAACAGTTCATGGGGAAAGTACATGTGTTGAGGGTTCAAGAAAACAGTTGTTTGGGGGCTGAATTATATGCTATTTTGGTATTTTATTTTTAAAATAAGGGGAATAATGGAGAAGAGGGGAGGGAATCAGGGATGGAAGGGAGAATTAATACAAGACATACCTATGGAAATTTACAAACAGAAATCACGCCATATTCAGGCACATGGTTATGAATACAACATAATTTGCAACAAGAGACATTGGCCACTCAAAGGTTCATGCTATCAAACAGCTAAATAATCATAGTTTCAAGTTTTTCAATAAGCTAAATAGTTATTCTCAATGGCTGTTCCTTTTAAAATAACACCTTTGAATTTTAAGGGGCTAAATAATGTCGTTAAGAGGGGAAAAAGCCCTGGCTGAATTTTTTAAAAACCTCATTTTCAGATTATTTTACTTCAAGAAACTCATTTTCAGGAGTGGCATATTATGGGCATGAAAGATGGTTGGTTTCAGCAGACATTTTTTGCTTCAGCCAAAGAAAAGAGGAATGGCCATAATATTTGCTAAACATGTAATTTTTTAGATTGAAGATCAATTTAAGGATATGGGGAGATGGTTTATCTTATTGATAGGTACAGTTATTAGTGGGCTCAGGATATGTTCCCAATCACAAGCTTAAAAAAAAGCTGCTTTAAAATACTGCAACACTTTGGGGAAGGGAAATTATACTTGGAGGAGACTTCAGTTGCACACCGATTCCTTACTGGACAGATCAGATAAAGAAGATGAAGTGTATAGGGAAGCAAGTGCAGCATTTACTTCTCTGTAAAAAAAATTCAGTCTCTCAGTTTGCTGGAGAGAAATGCATTTAGTGGAATGAGATTACACATTTTATTCACACCCTCATCATTTACATGCTAGAATAGATTTCATGTTAATCTCTAAATCCTTAATGAAGTGAATAAGACCTTTTGTACAGAAGAAGAGGAACAATGGATTCTTCTTTGAGCTATTGCACATGTCCATTCCACTGTAGGGGTGTGTGTGTGTGTGTGTGTGTGTGTGTGTGTGCGCGCCTTGTGCACAGATGTCAGAGATTTTTTTCCCCTCGTTGCTACCCATCATGGCAGCTCGAATGCCCCCTTTTGCTGTGACACAGCATACTGGTATAAGAGGGTGGAGCTGAGCATCCCCAGTTCCTTCTTGCCACCAGTGATGGTTTTCAAAGTGATCTCGGACTTGTTTACTCAAGTGCATCCCTCATTCACTTTAAATAGTTGCAGTTAATTATTGTTAGTTAGTTTCTCAAGTTAGTGTTACATTTCTGTTTTTGGTGTCCTTTGGTACTGTTTCTTTTCTTTTGGTACCAAGCTTGGTACCACAATGATGCCCTGCTCCTCAGTGTTCAAGTCCTGCAGGACATGTTCAAAGCCTATGCTGGTCAGTGATCCTCATCCATCCTGCCTGAAGTGTTTGGGTGAGGCCGACATTAGTGACAAATATCACATTTGCAAGGGCTTCAATCCTCTTTTGAAACAGCGAGACTTATGTGTTTGATTATGGAAGCAACATTTTGACCCACAGTCAAGTCATTGCATGAGGAGAGCACCCCAAGTACTTCACCATGGGTATGGAGTGCTCCACCAGATATTTTTTTGGCTTCTCCATCCAGACCTTCCTCAGTCTCAGCATCTTGTTCATCAGCTTTGGTACCCAGGCAAGATAGAGGCAAGGACTCTACTAAACATGTGGCAGAGAGAGCTACCTCAGAAGCCTCACCTCCTAAGAGGTGTTCGCTGTCTCCAAAGCTCGTGCCAGGTTCAGTGAGGTTGTCCTGAGACGTTTCAGGAGCCAACAGTTGATGGGACTCCCATCTACCCCAGAGGCATATGCAGCCGCAAGAGACTTGATTAGTGCCTCATTACAGGTTTCACCAGCATTGGAAACTGTCCGACTGGTTCTTGCTCCTGCAACTCACCCCTCACCGCACCAAGAATCCCAAAGTACCACTACTTACACCTCCTCTCAAACCAGTCTTATCAAGAAGGAAACCTCTCATGATTTCTCTGGTACCACCCTCCCAGGGTTCAAGATAATTCTCTCCGGTACCATCTGCATCAGCACCTCAATTATTGGAAGCCTCTGACTTCTCAGCCTCTGACTTGGAAGTGCAGTCCTTTGTATCCTGGACAGGATGCAGCACTGTGGTAGGAATTTTGGGCATTTATCATGGAGGGCTGCTTGGTTGCCAAGACATTACTACAATCCATGCTAGACGTTGCAGACACTTTGGCCAGAGAAATGGCCTCAGCAGTGACCATAAGAAGGGCATCCTGGCTGCAGAGTTTGGGCATTGCTCCCGATGTGCAGCAGACCACAGAGTACTCCAGGGGGAATTCTGTGCCAAAAAATTAAAAATGCTGTGTACAATATTTAAAAATTCTGTGAAATTTTGCGTATTTTATTTGTCAAAAATAACAAAATATAATCACGCCAGTTTCTATTATTTTGGTAATTTCTTTCAAAATACCTGTCAGCAACGATGTCTGTAACAATGCAGACAACAAAAAATATTCAGGAAATGTTTTTTTGATAAACAGATTCCTTACTAGGCATATTAATACAGAACTTTGCATAATAATTAATTTAAAATACAGAAACGTATTTTCCACACTCCTGAGAGAGAGTGCAAAGGCTTGGGGAGTCGGAGTAATGGAGGAGCTGAGGGAAAGGGAAGTAGTTGCTGGGCAGGAGTCTAGGTGTGAACCTGGACGATTGTTGGGTGTGGGTGGAAGAAGTAATATGGAACAGGTTTTCTTTTGGGAGGGAGGGATTATAAGGGAGCCTCCCCCATGCAGACACTAGACCCCTAGCCTCTCCCATTCAGGTATATCTGCCCATGTTCCCATGTGTCCCTGCACATCCACTCCCATGCAGTCCCCACCCCAGTCTGTCCCC